CAAAAGAAAAGCAAATGTCTGGTATACATATCCTAGCTAACAGCAGAAAATGAAATGTAGTATGATACACTCCTAAAGTCCTGGAGGCAGTGGCCTCARTGCWGAAAGGAGAAGAGCAATATGTCACAAGATAATGTCATGTCRCTGAACCACTAAAAGTGGGATGGTCGTAGAGGGGGTGAATGCAGCCTAAGAATCGAAACTCCTAAGGGCAGTCACACATGAAGGTGGGATAGGTCATCAGGCTCAAGGTGGGAGAGTGGTAGCGAAACAAAACTAAACCCTAACAGATAGACCATCAAGGTGGGTAATGCTCGACAAGGGTGACACCATGCAGGGTCGACCATGAAAAGGGGGAGCCTAGAAGATATGCGTAACTGAAGGCATGCAAGGGCTGGCAATAGGGTGATGAGGGCAGTGGGTGAGGGAAACATGCACACAACTCACCGACTGGGGGAGGAAGGAGCTAGATCTGGGAGCAGGGAAGCCAAGATAACGCTACGGTCCCAATGCCTATGCGATACCAAGGGAGAGCCCAACTCAAAGAGACCCAGCTAAGTGAGAACCATCATGCGACAGATGCAAGGGAATGTACAGGGTAGGGTGGTGGCGTGAAGTAGTCACGTCCAAAGTAGCTGAAGCCGATAAGGTAGCTGAAGTCGTCGAATCGGTCGATGACGTCGATGAAGAAGCAGTCAAGTCGATGTCAAAGCAGAGCCGCGAAACGCTGACATCCTGAAGAAGAGCTGATGATGGAGTACCTGATGGTGTGAGTAAGTGGGGAAAGATGGAGGATAAGAGTGTCAGTCATCGTAACGTGAAGGGCGACGATGAGTGCGTTGTGGACGCTCGGAGGCGACCATCTGCGGCTGAGGAACGGCCTCAGAGGGAGCGGGCTCATCCTCAGCGATGTCCTCAGCCGGAGGAGGAGGAAGAGGGTCAGTCGGCTGAGTAGAAGCAGATGTCCCAGCACGACGAGCACGATCATATGCACGCACGTGCTGCAAGTGCTCGAGGGGCTCCCAAGTAGCCTCCTCATTAGGGTAGCCCTTCCAACGCACAAGGTACTCGATGCGTGGAGGGGTATCGTCGGTAACTCGGCGTGATACGATGTCGGAAACAACGAACTCCTCGTGACCGCCCACCATGATAGGTGGAGGGCGCTCATAAGGGCGTCCGGCGAAGTGCTCGGACGGTCTGCGATAAGGACGCAGCAACGAGACGTGGTAAACATCGTGTACACGAGCCTGTCGAAGGTAATCAGGTAGCTTCGTACGGAACCTGACCGGACTAGCGGCTGTATCAGAGCTGACGGCCTGAAGGATGTGGCATGGACCGAAGAAACGACGCTTGAACTTGCGAAGCATATCTGCTTCGAGCTGTWAGTGGCGTGCGTCGACGAGCACATCGTCACCGACTTTGAATGGATGATCCATTCGTGATCGGTTCGCTCGTGCGACCATGCGAGTCTAGGAGTCGGCTAAACTCTCGTGTGTGCGCTTCATAATCGCCACCATGTGGGCGATCCTGTCGTCAAGCGCAGGGCAACGAGTGTCTGGGCGCAACCGCGATGGTCATAGGAAATCCGCAGGTACGCGAGGGTGGTAGCCGAGGTCGCAATAGAATGACAACATCCCCGTGGCTGGCGAAACAGCGTCGTTCTACGCAATCTCCGCGTGGGCTAAGTGTAAGTCTCACTGCTGGTCATCCCTAACAAACTTTCGGAGGATATTACCGAGAGTTTTGTTAGTGACCTCAGTCTGACCATCCGTCTGAGGGTGGTAAGACGATGAAAAGCGGAGCTGGGATCCGTACACCTCGCGTAGGCGTCGCCAGAATGTGCTGGTAAAGCGCGGGTCACGGTCGGAGATGATGCTCTGAGGTAAGTCGTGATCTCTCACGACTCGGTTGAAGATGATGTCGGCGACCTCACAAGCCCTAATGCGATAGCGGCACGGAACAAAACGTGCACACTTCGTGAAGCGATCGACGACGACCAAGATAGCATCATGACCGCGCTGAGTGAGTGGGCGGAGGGGACCAATGAAATCCATCGTGATAGACTGCCAACGACCTTCAGGTATGGGTAGGGGCTGAAGTAACCCATACGGAAGGTGGTTCGCACTGTTCTTCTCCTGGCAGGTAGGACACTCTTGGATGTAGGCTTTGACAAAGTCCTTGGACTTCGGCCAGACGTATAGGCGGCAAACACGAGCCAACGTCTTGTGGAAACCCATATGACCGGCAGCTGCCTGGTCATGGAACTCTGCTACAGCCTGGACGCGGAGCTGTCCTGTGGAGGGAATGCAGATATGTGGTTCTAGCTGACCAGATCTGCCATGCCAGTACACGAGGCCGTTCTCCCCGAGGGAGTAGGAAGGAACGACCTTGCCACTCCTCAGTGTCGCGTGGATGACGCGATAATCGGGACAGTGGCGGTACTGATTGCGATACGCGTCGATCTCCGACTGATCAACACTGGTGATGGAGATGGCAACAAGATGGATGGGTTCCTGATTGTGATCAGGACGGCGGGACAAGGCATCGGCGACGCGGTTCGTTTCACCCTTGATGGGCTGAGTGGTTAAACTGAACTCGGATAAGTCACGCCATCAGCATGCCTGTCGAGGGGAAAGCTTAGGCTTCGTGAGGAAAGCCTGGACAAATGAGTTGTCCGTGCGCACCGTGAAGGGCGCCCCGTGCAGATAATGACGCCAATGCTGGGTAGCATAAACTACTGCGAGAACCTCACGTTCATCGACAGTGTAGTTTATCTCGGAAGGTAGTAGCTGACGGGAGTAGAAAGCGATCGGGCAATCCCCAGCACAAGCCTCGACAGTCCCATCCTCCGCGATGGTCGGGGAGTAAGTAATGGGGGGACTGTCAGTGGAGGGAAGTGGTGGTAGGATAGGCGTCTGTCGAGAAGCAGTGTCAGCAGGAAGGGGGGGAAAAGGAGGAACATGGGGGTAAGGTGAATCTGGAGGAGAGGGAAACNGTGGTAGGATAGGCGTCTGTCGAGAAGCAGTGTCAGCAGGAAGGGGGGGAAAAGGAGGAACATGGGGGTAAGGTGAATCTGGAGGAGAGGGAAACACCTGAGAAAGGACAACTCCTTCTGCAAAATCTGACGCATCGGTGGTGACGATAAAGAGACGATAAAAATCGGGAAGGCGAAGAACCGGCGCGCAAGTCACCGCCTTCTTGAGGGCGGGGAAGGCGCCCTCGCAGAGGGGTGTCCAAAACCACGGCGGGTTCTTCCGGGGGAGGGTGGAGAAAAGGACGTAGGAATACCTAGCGTATCCCTGGATAAAATTACTATAGTAGCTGGTGAGGCCTAGAAAGCTGCGAAGCTGCTTCGCAGATGTGGGGACGGGCCACTCTGCAATAACAATGATCTTCGCGTCGTCCATGTGGAGACCCTGGTCAGACACATGGTGTCCTAGGAAGTCCACTTTGCGCTGGGCAAAGCGGCACTTACTGAGCTTGGCATAGAAGCCATGCTTGCGTAAGCGCTGTAGGACATCGCGGAGGTGTCTGATATGGTCTTCTAAGGTACGACTGTAGACCAGGATGTCGTCCAGGTATACGAGAACGTATTTCTCAAGGATGTCCCTGAAGATGTCGTTCGTCGCCGTCTGGAAGGTGGCGGGTGCATTGGTGAGGCCGAATGGCATCACTGTGAAATCGTAGTGGCCGAAGCGCGACCGAAAGGCGGTCTTCGGCTGGTCCTCTGCGGCAACGAGGATCTGGTGATAACCGCTACGAAGATCGATCTTCGTGAAGAAGCGGTTGCCTGCCAGACGGTCAAACAACTCATCCGCGCGGGGCATGGGATACCTGTTCTTAACCGTGTAACGGTTAAGGCCACGATAATCAATGCAGAGGCGGAGAGTTCCATCCGCTTTGCGAGCAAAGAGGACACGTGCACCCCAAGGGGAGTTACTAGGTTTAATGAAACCAAGTCGAAGGAGCTCCTCAAGCTGACGCTTGAGTTCCGTCACCTCTGGAATCGAGAGTCGGTATGGTGCCTGATGGTGAACACGATAGTCAGGCACGAGCTTGATGGAATGCTCGACACTGCGCATCAGGGGAATCCCGCTGTATGAGAAATACGGGGGGAAGACGTCGCGGTACTCCCGAATCAGGTCGCGAATGACGGGCTCTAAGTCAGCCGTGAACCGCATGAGTTCCTCAACGTCTGCGTCGGCACAAGACGTATGGGTGGACTCGGCAGTGGACGGCGTAGGAACCTGGGATGTCGAGGGGGTATCCGCAGGCTGCGGGGTGGATGTAGAGATGAGAGCCGCGAAGATGGAGGAAGGGTCAGGGGGATCGGGCTCCAGTGAGATGAGCTCAACCTCGGGACAGAGTGGATCGTAGCGAAGAAGATCCATG